CGCAAGGCAGGTCCACCCCAGGGCCCTGGGAGGGCCGGGAGTGGGGCAGCAGCTCCCAGGGCAGGTATACCCCAGGCACTGGGAGGGCCGGGAGTGGGGCAGCAGCTCCCAGGGCAGGTGCACCCCAGGCACTGGGAGGGCTGGGTGGGAAGGGGCTGGCTCTCGGGACGACTCCACTCAGGCCGCAGGGGAAGGGCGCGTGGACACAGGGCCGCGCCCTGCAGTGCCCGCTGGCGGTGGTGGGCGTGCCAAGCGGGTAGGGACGTACCGGGGTCCTGGTCCGGGGCCTGCAGGTGGCAGCCGTGGCCCAGCAGGGTCCGCACGGCCTCGCGGAGACTGTCCTTGTTGGACCTCTTGGTCCGCTCGTCCAGGAGGGCGTAGGGCACCAGGCGAGGGTTCCTCCTGTTCTTCACATCCTGCAGGGAACAGGCCGGCACCAGCGCCATGTGGGGTTTGCAGGAGCCAGCTGGGCACAGGGCCTCGGCTGAGCCCGCCTCGGCTGAGCCCGCCCCGGCACCCTTCCTGGTCACGCCAGGCCACGGAAAGATGTCAGCGCTTCAGCAGACACGGGCGAGCGTCACAGCTGGGGGACACACAGCTCTCTGGCACCCCCCCCGGCGGGCCTGTCCTCTAGGAGGAGCCGGCCTGCACCCGCCCTGGGGCTCTGTGGGTCTCTCAGAGGTGCTGCTTCCCGTCCTCAGGGAAACCCACATGCGGCGCAGCGCTGGCACCCCTGCTGGGAAAGCAGGTGTCCCTAACCCTCCACGCTGAGCCTGGCCACCAGGGGCTGGGTGCCGACACCACTGTGAGGACCAGAGGCACGGCCTGTCCTGCCCCGGCATGGGTGCTGCCCGGGCAGCCTCCCTGCGGCCCGCGGCTCAGGCACGATTCCCGTCACTCAGCGCAGCGCTCCAGTGGGCGGCTGTGGAGGGGAGCGGCTCGTGCTGTAGACCGTGGGGGTGCAGCTCCCTTCCCGCCCCCCCGGCCCCGACCCCTCGTCCTACATGGGACGCCTGTGTGCTGCCCCCCTGCGGTAAAGCCACCTGCAGCGACAGCCGGGGCCTACCCAGACACAGGCCAGGCCACGCACCGCCACGCCCACACGGCCATGCTGCCACTGCGGCTGAGCACGCAGCCACGTACTGCCCCCAGGTGGCCCTGCAACCCATGACACTTTACAGCACCGTCCCGAAAACAGAAGAGTCTGAGCTCTGAAACCGACCTGGCCCAGGGGTTCAGTGAGGAGACCGTGACCCGTTTCTTCTCCCCCGACCTCAGTGCCATGTGCGGCCCAGCTGTGGGTGCCGGGCCATGTCTCTGAGGCGCTCCAGGGGCCGGGCCTGTAGGGGCTGGCGAACCGCGCCCCGATGTCACACACCTGCGTGCACAGCAGCGCCGCACCACCCCACTGGCCACGCCCCGGTGCCAACCCGCCCGCCATAGCCCTGCTACCTGCTGGATGCCATAGGTCCAACCCTGCCGGATCCGGTCCCGTGCCCACACGTTGTGGGCGTTCTCGGCCAGCTTGTCCACCATGGCCTCCTGGGACGGGCTGAGTTTGACAAAGCTCAGGTCCATCGGGGCCGGCTTGTACGCACTGCTCAGCTGGTAACTACAGGGCAGAGACATGAGATGTCCCCACCCGCCCAGGCCCACCAGGGTCCTCCATCCCACCTGCTTCCCACCGTCCCCGCCACCACTGCAGCCTGGAGAATGCGTCTGCACTAGGCCCCCCACAGCAGACCGGTGGAGCCAGCAGCAAGCAGAGCGTCAGGGCGGCCGAGAGCCCCGATACACCATGTACCAAGACACACGAATCTGGGCGCCAGGAGAGAAGACCCACGTGGCTCTCGTGACTTTCCGAGACACGCCCAAGACAGCATTAGGGAAGTCCTTACGCCCCACACAGCCTCCTCGCTTCCACCCCACGGCAAGCTGTCAAGGTGCAAGTGTTCCCTGGGCATGCATGCCAGACGCGGCGTCTCCTGGGGACCGTGGTGGCCTGATACGAAAGCATCGGCAGTGGGGACACTTCCTTCATCCCACCCACCCTTCCCGCTTCCTGCCCAGCATGATCAGGACGCTATGAAAAAGCCACATGGGGCCTGGGGGTCTCGTCTGTGCCCCTCAGAGCCAGGTCCACCCTCCAGGCCTCAGGGCACACGGGCCACGGACACCAGAGACACTCAGAATAGTCTTGCTGGAAGCACAGCCACCAGGAATGGAAGGTGGGCCTACGATGTCACCGAGGGCCAGAGAGCATTTACCATGGTCCCAAACACGAGAACTCGCTCTGGTACAGAGGACAGAGGTGGAGAGCACAGGCTCTGGCCCTCCGCCGAGCTCGCTTCTCCCGCTTTCTCGTCTCTAAGTGAAGGTGCGCGAGAACAGCATGCCCGGGGCCCCATCTCTGCTCTAAGGCTTCTGCGGCCCCGGCCCCCAGTCCCTTGGAACAAGACTATGAGGTATCCGCTGCTCTCAAGAAATAGACATTTCAAGAAAGAAGAAAAAAGCGCTATTCTTACTTTTCGCATTTTTTTTTTTTTTTTTTTTTGGGAGAGGTTTTTGCTATAGGGCGCGTGGGCTTGCCAGACAGACAGAGAGCCAGAAAGCAGGAAATCACCCCCTAGGGGGGATGGCCAGGCCGCAATCCCTCCTCCTCCATTCTCCTCTCGGGCTCTTGGGCACGCATGCACATGCACCTGGCGTGAGTTTAAGCCACCGGATCCAGGACTCGAACCGCAGTCGACTACATGGGAGTCCAGCGAGACAGCCATTACGCTAACTGCTGGTCCCTACTTTTCGCATTTTTTTTTTTTTGGGAGAGGTTTTTGCTATAGGGCGCGTGGGCTTGCCAGACAGACAGAGAGCCAGAAAGCAGGAAATCACCCCCTAGGGGGGATGGCCAGGCCGCAATCCCTCCTCCTCCATTCTCCTCTCGGGCTCTTGGGCACGCATGCACATGCACCTGGCGTGAGTTTAAGCCACCGGATCCAGGACTCGAACCGCAGTCGACTACATGGGAGTCCAGCGAGACAGCCATTACGCTAACTGCTGGTCCCTACTTTTCGCATTTTAAAACAGCCCTGAAAAGTGTGCACAGAGATGGCAATAGTCTTTAGAGAAGGGCCTGGTGGTATCAGCCCCAGGCCGATCACCACGAGAGGCGGCTTCTGCGCGGGACAGAACGGAGGAGTGGTCAGGGCCCTGGGTCTCAGCTGAAGCAGGACAGCTGTGCCCTCCCTGGAGGGGCATCAGAGGGTGCGGCCCAGGCCCCAAGAGCATTGCTGGGTTCTGGGACTCGGAAGGGCTGGGCCAGGGGAGGAGAGTGGTGAGTCGGAGGTGAGGCCCCACTGTGCGGTAAACATGCTGCAGGAAGCTGGGGAGGCCAGAGACCACTGCACACACCAGCGAGTCCAAGGGAGGGGACCCAGGGCTGTGCATGGAGCCCCACACCCCCCGCCAGCTGAGCCAGCACCTGCAGCCAGAGCGGCCAGGAGCCCTGGACTAAGGCCCCGATGAGCACTCCCACACCCCCGGAGTGGCTTCCCAGAGTCAGGCCCAGGGACCCAGGATGACTTCAGGATAACATGGACACCAGCCACGACTTTGCAATAACGATGCTCGGATGGCTTGTCACGAGACTGGGCAGAACAAGGACCAAGTAACCATCTTTCAGAAGACGCAGAGCTGCGGGGATGAAGCAGGAAGGGTGTGGGGGAGGACCCTTCTAAATAAGGAATGCTCCTGAGAGGGCAAGACCTGGGAGAAGGCCAGGCGGGGTCAGGGCTCGTGGCGAGAGAACACGGCCATGCCGACTGACGGGGCGGACAGACGCACAGACAGACCAGGTGGGGTCCACACCAGCAGCTGCATCTGGCGAGAGACCCACGGGGTGAACCCCAAACCGGCCCGAATGGAGGAAATGCAGAGCTGCCTAACAGTGCGCCGGAAACCTGCGGTCGTGGACGTGGAGGGGCATCCCGTGCTCCTGGAGTGGGAGAATTAACATAATCGAAATGGCAATTCTACCCAAATTAATCTACATGTTTAATGCAATTCCAACAAAAATACCAGAAATATTCTTCACAGATCTAGAAAAGACAATCATAGAATTTGTCTGGAATCATAAAAGACCCCGTCTTGCCAAAGCCATTCTGTGCGAGAGTGGAGTGGGCGGTATCTCACTTCCTGACCCCAAGGTATATTACAAAGCTGTGATAATCAAAACAGCATGGTATCGGCACAAAAACAGACATGAGGACCAGTGGAACAGAGTAGAGACCCCAGAAATAAACCCCAAAGCATACAGCCAACTGATCTTTGACAAAAGGTACCAGTCAATCCAGTGGGAAAAGGAAAACCTCTTTAGCAAATGGTGTTGGAAAAACTGGGTATCCCCCTGTACAAAGATGAATCTGAACCCCTATCTGTCACCAGTAACAAAAATCAACTCAAAGTGGATCAAAGACCTAAACCTAAGATTGCAAACAACAAACTTACTGGTGGAAACACTGGGGAAACTGGGAGAACTTGGGGTAGGCCAGGACTTCTTAAGTGAGACCCCAAAGCACAGGCAGTAATCCCAAGGAGGTAGGTGGGATCACATCAGGTTAACGAGCTTCGGCACAGCAAAGAACACTGTCATTAGTGTGAATCGACATCCCATGGAATGGGAGAGAGCTTGTGTTAACTGTGCCTCAGATCAGGGACTGATAACCAGAATACACGGGGACTCAAGCAGCTTACCCGGAAGAAAATGATTAACCCAATTAAAAGATAGGAAAATAAACTGAATAAACAACTCTCTAAGGAAGACATACAATAGACAAAAAGCATATGAAGAAATTTCAGCATCCCTCATCATAAGGGAGATGCAGATCAAAACCACAGTGAGCCACCACCTAACCCCTGTCAGAATGGCGAAAATTAAAACAACAAAAAAAGGTAAGTGCTGAGGGGAGGTGGTGAAAGGGGGACACTCCTGCACTGTTGGTGGGAATGTAAATTGGCCCAGCCACTGTGCAGAACGATATGGAGGTTCCTCAAAGACCTTCAAATAGAACTACCATATGATGCAGCAGTTCCACTCCTGGGTATCCACCCAAAGGGCAGGAGAATGCTCAATCAGGAAAGCGCTTGCACATCCATATTCATTGCAGCCTTATTCACGATTGCTAAGACATGGAACCAACCTAAATGTCCACACACAGATGGATGAACGAGTGTAGCACATATACACATGGAATACTATTCAGCCATAAAAACAAGGACCTGGAAGCAAACCAGGCTATGAAAGAAAGACATTGCATGTCTCCCTTTAACATACACCGACTGGCAGCACTCTATGGTAGAGACCGAAAGACTAGAGAACATACAAGCATTAAAAATTCTTATGGACAGGACCAGCAGGTAGCATAATGGCTATGTCATTACGCTATCTCATGTAGTCGACCGTGGTTCGAGTCCCAGACCCAGTGGCTTAAAACTCACGCCAGGCATGTGTGCGTGCGTGCCCAGGATCCTGAGAGGAGAATGGAGGAGAAGGGATTGCGGCGTGGCCATCCCCCCTGGGGGGTGATTTCTCGCTGTCTCTCTGTCTTTCTCTGTCTATCTAGTGAGTGCACGCGCTCTATAGCAAAAACCTCTCCAAAAAAAGAAAAAAAAGATTGTTATGGACACTAGAGTCAAAG